TCTATCTCAGTCATCTTTCCATCAAGCAAATTTCTCATGTTAGTGATGTCTCTGACCAGAGCCAGAGGTGGCAGTAACGCACCAAAAGGTTTGTTGTCAACCACCGAAAAACAGGAAGAAGAAATCGTCATTCTTGCCATCATATGGATTGACTTTCATCGGCTAGACACTGGCCTCACAGCTCTGTGAATTTCAGTGCCGTCACTTATTGATCCGCGATCAGTAAATGTGTGGACACTAATGCGCTACTTCACTAATAAAATGGCTTTGCTACTAAAAAGCTATTATTACTGATTTATAAAGTAGCGACGCCAGCACGTCACCGCCACTCTACTGATAAATGTAGTTAAGCTAATAGCGTCACTATTTGTATCGATGCTACAGCCCAACACTGCGGAAATAGTTACGTTTTCTCCTGAGAATACCCCAGTGTTGTATGGCAGGGCATAGATGTGTTTTTTTTTTCTCTGAGAAGGCTGTCACACTGACGCTAATTCAGGCATCTGTATCAGATGAAATTAAGTTTGCAATTGACACAATTGGAACAAAAGTTTCATTTATTGAAAAATTGCATCTGATTTTAATGCTTTACAGAATCATCTTGTGGGCCAGATTAAACCTGTTTGCGGGCCTGATCCGGCATGCGGTCATATGTTTGACAACCCTGGTCTATGGTGTTAGGTCTTGATTTGAATGTGCCTAATGTTGGAGCACATTTGATCAAGACAAAATGCAAGAGAGTATTTTGTTTGTCTAGAAAATGCTTCTTGATTTAGGAAATTTTAGATTTTTAGACTGAGAACAAGACAAAAAATCTAAGTAACAAAAGCATTTTTTGTAGTGTATAAATCCCTCAAGCCACTAGCCATTGGTAGACTTGGCAAAATGTACAATTTTGTCCTTTGATGCATGTCCAAAAATTCATTCTTGTGCGTATTTGTCTTTAATATAAATCACACACTACTAGTTCAGATCGCATTTGCAATCTGAATAAATCTGAGAGGAACAGTGGAATTGCACAGAGTGACAGAGTGAGAAATGAACAGTCTCATTAGTGTGCTGCCTCATAAGGGCACTTGTGTAAAAAAAAAAAAAAAAAAAAAAAAAAAAGAAATTCTGTGACTCCTTCCAAACAGAGTAATTAACACAAGGCTCAGCCAGGGTGACCATGTTCATGCTCAAGCAGCAGAGAGAAATGCTGTAGCTTCCTCTTGCCTTGGGCGGCTACACCCATCTCCGAGCAGAAACGCGAGCATCTCCAAAACGGTCTAAGCCGCAGATGCGAGCAATCATTTACTTTTCCATAAAGGAGTGCGGCTCCCCAGTGTGGGTGTTCTAACGGTCGGAGAAATTACATTACAGCACCTCCAGGCAACAATCTCCGATGTGGCTATTTGAAAGTCCGTTACATGCTTAAGGGAAAGATCAGGAGGAGTGCAGGGGCTGGAGTGTTTCCCGAATTTAGTGCTGCCGGCTGCTTTTACTGTCTGCCTGTTATCTTTCTCGCTTGTGAGAGATGGAAGCGTCTCTGGTGGGTGATTTAAAATAGCAAGATACCAAACTGATTAGCATTCTCATTTTGATCCGCTCTCCATCACCTATCACTGACACATCAGCATAATGACACCTGAGAGATCGCAGCATGGCAATGCATGTCGTCGCATTGGCCGTGTCTGTATGAATGATTCAAGTACGCTTACAGTATGTGTCAATAGTTAAATGTACAATATTTTCTTACTGTAATGTTGTTGCTCTTTTGTAACTTCCTTATATATCCTTATTCCTGTCATATTTATGACAAGAGTTGTTGTCATGCTACCAATAAACGAGAAGAAAATGAAAATGAGTTTAGGTTTAAGTAAAGCAAGTTAAGTTTTTGTGTTTGTTTGTTTTTTTTGTGTTAAATTGTTGTTTTTATCAGAACTTAAGGCTTAAATAAAATTATTCTTTAATTTTTTATAGCTGAAGGACATGGCTCTTCCACCAAATACTACTTTTTATTACTGCTGTATTTAATTTTTTTTTGCCAAAAGCACATAACCATTAACACATAACAATGTGTTATTTAATGCATCATTTATAATCATAAATGCAGAGAAATTAGGATTTCGCAAGAGTTTGAACTTAGCTGATCAGCTGTCCTGGCAGAGCCCTGAGCTCATAAGGTCCTTGAGCCTTGGGCTCCCTCTCGTTTACAGGGCGATAGGGGGAGTTTGAGCTCAGGTAGGTCTCGAGAACTCCCCTCTCTGTGTTCAGAGCTGATGAAAGATTATAATTTGCTATATAAAGATATACTAATGGTTAAAAGCTCATCTATAGAGTTAATTTAGATTAATCAATTCACTTATGACACTTGTTTTTGGACTGTGGGAGGAAACCCGGGTAAAACCCATATGAGCACAGGAAGAACATGTATAACTGTAGCGAAACGATAGCTGTGCTAACCACTGGGCCACCGTGCTGCCCTGTAAAGGGAAAGGTGGAGGAGTAGGGGTGATAGGGGAGATTCCTCAAGGCGATGATAACTGTAGTAAGAAAGAGACTTTGGTTGTTTATAGTGAGTCAGAAATCATCTGATTGGTGAATCATGCATTAGTTAATGCGGGACCAGCCATGTTCAATCATAATCACATGCTCCTATTGAAATAAGTTTAAAATAAATTTTAGTTAAGTTGTTGTTTTTTTTTCCTATTAGGATAAATTGTGTGAGGGAAAACCCCCAAAAATCATAATTTGCAATTAATGACATATTAAACTAAATTAAAGGGTCACGAAACACCAAAACACATTTTTTTGAGCTGTTGACAGTCGTATATGTGTCCCACACTGCTAAAAACACTATTAAGACACCTATATTTCACTAAAAAGTGTAAATTGGTTGTTTTTGCGTTATTTCAAGCAAATTCGTACTTCCGGTTTGAAACTAATTTTTGAAGCTGCGTCACGGTCATGACATAATAGCTTTGTATTCCAGCGTGCAGACTGGGCGTCTGTGCCAGAGTGTGTCTTATTACGTCTTACAGTGTGATGCATTAATGCATGAGTAAAGCTTGGTTCAAACCAATCAGCGCGCTCTATTGTGCAACTTCATTAATATTCATTACTATCACCGTGTTTACACAACAAAGACGCCACGTTGTGTTGGCAAAACAAGCGTGAAGTGTTGCTTTTATAGTTTGCTGCAGTTAAGTTTCGTTTTCATTTTCTCTCTGTGAGAGCTCAGAGTCACGTGTGGATTACAGTGTACGCTATGCTCGACAACAATAACTTACGTGTCTAAGGAGGAACATTGTTTACCTGAGAGCTGTTCTCATCTGCAAACGCTGAGATCCGGATTCGCTTGTAGTATTCTCTTCATAAAAACGCGGCTCTAGTAGTTGCTGGTGATTGTCCTGTCTCTACAGATTTGGTAAGTGAGCGACCAGTGCTCTTTGTTTATTCAGTTTGTTTGTATCCAACAAACTATTGCACCGAGTTTAAACACGTTAGCACCACAACTAAACTTTAACCTCGTGTAGGGTTTTTACCGCATTTAGTGACCGGAATAACACACGCGGCTTTCTGACACTACCTGCCGTGTGCATCTAAGTTTCCGGGAAATGCAGAGAGTTTTTTTTCTCTCATTCGCCGTGCGGTATCAAACATTACATGAAAAATACACGCTTAGAGCAGTTCCTCGAATCAAATATCTCGTTTGTCGCGAGGGGCATGAATGAATTCCCTGAATCAAAGAGCCAAACTGCAGTTAAAGTCCAACATTTAATAATTTGGCAAATAATTCGACTACAGATGTCCATGTAGGTTAAACACCATCACTTTCTACTGTGTGTGTGAATTTTGACTCTGAAACTCGCGCGCGCCCAAATAGACACTCCTACACCATCCCACTTTAGTTCCTCCGACACTCCCCCCTAAACAGAGCTGGACACGCCCACTTTTCTGACTTTTTCCAAAGTAGAGGTGTGAAAACACCCTGCTGAAACGAGGGGGTTTCATGGCCCTTTAAAACCTAAACACATTTTAAAAACCTATTTAAGATTATAAAAGAAGTTTCACATTATTACAGTTTTACTGCAATTTTGATCAAATAAATGCAACCCTGGAAAGCAAAACATTAATTTTGATGAAAAAGAGTGTATTTTATCCATTATAATAGAACTCGCTGTAATTTGCTCATACAGCAAACCACACAAAGTCAACTTGGCTCATTAATACAAAAGAATTACTACAAAAAATAAGAAACGGTGCCCTTGGGGCTAAATGGATCCTGCTTAGTAGCTCTTGAGCTTTTCAAAGTTGACTAGCTCTGATTTATACTATGTATGATTGCTAATTGAGTATCTTACAGAGAATGTCTTTCTCTTTTTTTGGATTTTCATAGGACTCTGCTTTTTTTTTTTTTATGTGGAGGAGCGTATCATCTCCGCACTCTCACATAAAGGAGTTAAAGACAAGGTCGAACATAAGCTTGCAAAAGTACAAATACATTAATTCAGTTTTCAGACTGTTAAAGTCCCCAAGGTGACAGGTAAATTAATGATTGAGAGTTAAAAAGAAATAGACGACATGAGGAGGCTGACCCATAGAAATCACATTTAAATGCAGGGGTGGATTACGCAACATTTTATGTATTTGTGTTTTGTTTCATTTAAACACCAAAATATATTCAATTATGACCAGAATGTGCATGCAAGGGCACTTGAGCTAATGAAATAGTTTACGGGCCGATATCTTAAAAGGGAGGCAGAGTGGCGAGTCGTGAGTCTCACAGCTCAACGCTCTTTTTAATAAGCTGCGTGTACTCGTAGGCTTTGCACCATCAACTCCCACTGAAAAAGTCACTCTCTTTTTCATCCTTTCTTCTCGTCTTCCTCTTACATGCTGGGAAAGCTAAATTACCACAACGATTTGCAATTTACTGCCAACCTTGGAGGGTGTTATTTGGTTCTCATAATACAAGTGTCTTTAAATTGCTCCGATGGCATGCTTGTTTTTCTTACCTTGGACCAGTTCACCCGCTTCATGATGGAGTCGGGTTTGTAGGTCTTCTTGGGTGCCAGTCCGTAAGGCAGCTGGACAACAAGTGGAGGAGGTGCCGAAGGCATGCCGGGAGGTGGAGGTGGGCCTCCTCCAGGTGGCGGAGGCGGAGGTGGAGGTCCGCACCCAGGCGGTGGTGGAGGCGGCGGAGGGCCCAAACTTGCAGGAAAAGGAGGTGGAGGAGGAGGAGGTGGTGCACCTCCGATTGGGGGTGGAGGAGGTGGAGGAGGAGGAGGAGGTGCAATGCCACCTGGTGGTGGTGGAGGTGGTGGAGGACCAGCACCGGCTGCTTTAGGTCCTGCCGCAATCTGCAAAGGAATTAAATAGAGTGAGCGACAAGAAAAGGGCACTGTGAGCAAAACATTCACCTCAAACACTCCCAGTTCAGCCTCTACACCCAAAGGCCCATGCTTTTATCACCAGTACATGTTTTATCCCATCAGAACTAACGGGTGAGACAAGGGCAAAGGAGCGTGGAGGATAAAAGACACAGTGTTTACAGCAGCTGACTTTTCAATTTGAGGAGAGTGCATTAAAACAAGTCTAGAAATCAGAGCTAGGGAGAGGTTGGTGGGTGGTGGGGGGGTTGTAGGGATTCATCACATGCATTAAGTAAGAGTTGATAAAAGCAGATGGATGACTTAGGGCCGCTGTGGCCTTCCCTCCGGGCAGCATTTCTCTCAGCAGCACTGAGCATCTGCCTGTCTAGCGCACAGAGCTCTGCCTCCTGAGAGCCAAGTAGGGGCCAGTGCTCAGAGAAGCCTGAGCCCACTGCCTCATCCTCTCACTGGGGAAAGTGGGACATGGCAAATCCTAAGGGGCAGGTAGTCACATTGAGTATGTAAGTAAATAAATGTCAGGTCAACCGATGAGGCCGGTAAACTCTCCAGGAAAGTACACACCTGTCAAGTGCTCAGGATTTCAAAGGAGCTATTTTGACAATCTGCATGTGTGTCTGATGGAAGGACTTGTTTGATCCAGTGAATCCTGCCCATTGCCAAATGTGAGTAGAAGATTTAGTAAGCAATTGAAATTGGTGAGGGATTAGTATATATCTACTATATTATATATATATATATATATATATACTACTTTTTTGTGGAAAAAAGCCAAAACCTCAAATCGCAGGCTATTTGTATTAGTTGTGACATTAGTTCACTGTGCATTCTGATGTAGAAAATTATCAAATGTTCAAAAAAATGTAGATAAACAATACGAGAAAGGATACATTTGGGCATTGCACACTACCATAATAAAACCAATGCATATGAGCCTCACAGGATTCCTGTAAGCCTTTCACTCTGTCTCGTTTTCCTTCTCATACACACACGCACACACAATTTAAAAGCCATTTGATATTCAGATTAGCAACAGGGAATGAAAAAGCATCTGACACTGAGGGCATAACTCAAAAGAAACAAACACGATGAAGTTTACGATGATAATCTGTTATTGTTTTTAAGACATAATGACATAAGCGTTCATTCGTTCCGTATGGAACATATTTAACTGTGATTACACTGAATGACAAGATGACAGTATCGATATTTGTTTGCGGATGAAATATGGAAAGCACTTTGTGTAGACTGATTCATCTCGTTTAATCATAAAGCATAACAGATGAGAGTAAACCATTAGACTTGATTAACATGTAAATTGCCTCTATAATTTGCTAATAGATTGAGCGTATGAATAGGATGCAGCCACCTGAACCTTTAGCAGTAATGAGAAGAGTAATCGGGCCTGAATGCTCACGCAACTGGCAGTCAACCTCTTTGCGTTATCCTTTAGATCCTTAACCTTGACCCATAATTCTGTCGTTCTCCTGCTAAGATAACTGAAGTTCATGAGATGGTCTTCAGGAACAGAAGCCATTATGGAAGAGTCGGGGCTCAATTCATCCAGGAACTGATAAGACCGAAGGCGGCAAATGTCCTGACAAATCAGCCCTGCTCGGTTTGCAGTAATAATAATAAACAGGTATTTTGAATCCCTGATAAAGGGTGGGCCAAGCTCTCCAGCAACAAATGATATGCAAATGTCTCAATTAGAAGTCCCAATTGCTCAGATATGACTTGACCTTTGGATGATTACAAAGCAGTTTTTCCCTTCTTCTCAAAACTTGCTTTGTGCCTCATTCTCATCACTGCTTAGTAAAAAAGTTTCTCATTTTCTAAAGCAATTCCCCTCTCTGCACTCCAGCCTCAGTTCAGTTGATTAGGAGAATGATATGCATCGAGCCACATTTTTATATGCATTACCGGGTGTTTGATTACACAATGCAGGCAGTGGATTGTTTATTAGAGGGGAAATTAAAAAGGTGTAGGAGTATCATGCAGGAAGCTGAGGTCCCTTGACGAGTACCCTGTCCCATGATTATGCGTCTGTCAATCTCCGGCCCGTTGTGACCCATTTTCTCTTTTAAGTTTAATACAAGAGAATGGCAAGCAAATTAGCTGCTAAATTAGAGCACCGTCATTTCCGCATCGCTTTGGCCCTCTGTGGCAGCTTGTGGCGCGCTGCAGACCCTCCAGCCACGCTTCTGGAATGCTAATCAGCCTCAGGCACACAATTTTCTCCAGCCATACCCCTTATTCTCTTTAAACAATATCCATCATTTAGACCAATTTTACAAGCAAAACCCATTTTGCACAGGAAAACGTTTCATTTAAGGCTCCTTTCCCCCTCTGTTTTCATTTTGGTTTCTAAGCATGCTTTAAAAAGCAATTTGTGTCTAAAAAAATGTGGACTGCTAAAGGTCTAACTCAACTGGACTTGCTGGCCGTGTCCCATACTATTCAACTGCACTAATTAGCAGTCGGCGTGTCTGAAACTAGCTGTTCTCTACTGACAGGAGAATATCAAGAGGAGGATGCATTTAACAGAAACAGTCACAGTTTTGGGTAATTAACTAGGCCTAACACACAATTAAACCATCCACATCTCAACTCTGATGAGCGAGAGGCAAATTCAATTAGATTTGGTTACTACTGAGGGTTGCAGTACTCTAGCTAAATGGAAGCGAGGGGTTTAATTTTTCCTTTCCCTCACTGTGGCACCATGTTGTTCCTGTAGCTTAGGTGAAAGAGAACTCCAAAGTAAAGCAAAACCGGCTGAGTCATATACTTTCTAGCGTCTGCGGTAATATCCACAGTTATAGAGATTCTGTTTTGGCAGGATTCACCGTCACAAGCTGTTTAAATGCTGGATATGTGAGAAGGATTATGGCCTAATTGTGTAGCATGCATTTGTAATGAATGATTGCACAGCATCTGTTGAGAGTCTTGAGACAATACAGAAAATCAAGGCTCTGGTTGATCACTGAGGGGTAGCAGCTTTGATCAACCTGTTAGGAGGTATAAAAATGCAGATTTTCAAAGATGCTGGCGGGTGGCTGCGTTGAGCATGCTGGGAAGGGGAGGGAGGGGTTGGGAGAACACCCACCTTGCTGTTTCTTTCGCTGATGCTTTTCTCAGCCTCTTTTAGCTTGTCTCGCTCACTAGTCAACTGGACAGGTGAGGGGCAGACAGACAGATACAGAGACAGACAGAGCAACGGTCAGGAAAAAACAGAGATTCCAAATCTGGAAGTGGATCGCCAACTTCATCGGAGGTCACATGGCAATAACACTTATGGGCAGCAAGAAATTGGATGCAAGTAGTCTACCTGAACATCATCAAAAAACACCTCTTGCCTACTAATGAAGTAATACAGAGGTTTCATTAGCACTTGTTTTGAGCTTCCTGCTTTAGAAAGGTTTGCTCTGAGTGAATTCATAAATTAAGAACATCATTATACACTCTTGCACAGCTCCAGTTAGCAACACAATAGAGCACAACAGAGCCTGTTCACGTTTTTAGGCAGCCTTGGTTGCGAAATTACTTTTACTAATTATCTATTTTTGTTTTTCTTTTGTTAAAGGCCATGAAACCAGCCTATCCTGCTGTGTGTCACAAAATTCAGAAATTTAATTTGAGGAAATAAAAGAGCGTTTACATTTTATTTTATTTTTTTAATTGGCTGATTTCTGGTGATTTTAATGATTAACTTTTTTTTTTTTTGCAGAATCATGGGTAATGCAGATTTTCACAAGGAATTCTACTGTTATAGAATATATACTGAATATAAGTTGAAATTATTCTGCCTGATGATCGCAGCTCACACTGGATCTGTCTTTATAGGTTTATACATTATCATTAACATTTAGTTCCCTTATGAAAACCATTATCAAAGAAAAAATTGCATAAGGCAAGGCAAGTTTATTTACATAGCACATTTCATACACAATGGTAATTCAAAGTGCTTTACATAAACAATAATAAAATAAACGAGAAAATAAACATTTAAATAATTAAAAGTAATTAAAACCGATAAAAACATGATAGTGCGATCTATCTGAGGTAGCACAGTGCTCATTCAGTAAAAGCAAGGCTAAACAGATGTGTTTTCAGTCTTGATTTAAATGTGCCTAATGTTGGAGCACATCTGATTATTTCTTTCCAGCAGGAGTGGGTGCAGTAGCTGAAGGCAGATTCACCCTGCTTTGACTGAACCCTTGGAATTTCAATTTATTTGATCCTAAAGATTTGATCTAATAGGTTTTTATTCAGTGAACATATCTGTGATGTATTGAGTTCCTAGGCAATTTAGTGATTTATAGTCAAGTAATAATACTTTAAAATCTATTCTGAATGTAACTAGGAGCCAGTGTAAAGACCTGAGGACAGGTGTGATGTTCTCTGATTTGCTGGTTATGGTCAGAATAATGGCAGCAGCGTTCTGGATAAGCTGCAACTGTCTGACTGTCTTTTTGGGAATGCCAGTGAGGAATCCATAACATTAATCTTTACTGCTGCTGATAAAAGGATGAACAATATTCTCATAGTCCTCACTGGATGCAAAAAAATCAAATTCTTGCAACGTTTTTGAGAAGAAAGTATGCTGATTTAGTTACTGCTTTGACATGGCAACTGAAAAATTTTAGGGCTGGGCCGATAAAACAGTATCGAAATTTATTGACAGAACATCATTGACAATAATGATAAAAAAGTTTGGTTTGAAGTTTCGGTATGAAGCATTATAGCTTTATTAAAATTTGGCTGCTGAGCGCACACCTTGGAAGGAATGCCAAAAAGCTTAGGGTTATTTTCAATCAAGGCGCACGGCTTGCTGCAATGCAAGCATTTTCCAGGCGCACCAAGGTGAAAACATTTCAGAATGATGTGTGCGCACCCTGATTCACGCAAGTAGAACTAAATCTGCTTAACTTTTTGTATGCAATATACACTTTTCAGAAATAAAGGCAGACCAGACAACACAGAGCACCCTTACACTGCAATGCTTTTCCAATCTGTTCATAAATACAAATTAGTATCGTAACTGCAACAGTTGTGTTTGTTTGTCATCCTCTAAAAAAACAGTAGATGGTCGCCTAGTTATGAGAGACGCCAGAGGGGTGCGAGCACAGAGCACTTTGAAAATGGTGAAAGGAAACTGAATCCACGCAATTTTCACGTGATTTTCGATGCAACATGTGAACAGACTGTAAATATAAAAGAATGTAAGGATGTCGACAGAGTGGCTTTTAGGTTTCTTTTCTTGTGCAGTTTTTTTATTATTATTTATTTATTTTTTGACTATTAAAACTATTTGCAATATTAATAATATTGGCAAACTAAAATAAAGTGGTTAAATAATTAAAATAAAATCATAATATTCCTAAACCGATTGTAAAAACAATATTCAATAATTATCGATACTAAATGATATCAAACATTATATTGTGATTTTTTTCCTGTATCACCCAGCCTATAAGATTTAATCTCTCACACCCTACTGGCTCTAGTCGCATCTACAACGCTCTTGTTCCAATAAAGTTTGCTTGTTGTGCAGTCGATGCACCTTCACACTTTTAGAGTTGATTCTGGAATCCTGCTCTTTCAAGTCCTTTCACTGCGTTGTGACGTGCCCAATGAATTTAGCACAAGCACTTTGAACTCACCATGAGCTGCCTCTTTTTTAAAAAATGAAAAGGAGAAAAACAACATCTTAACAGCCTCTTTTCATTCAGAGGAAGCATACTCCACAGCTTCTGAAATACTCTTATATGGTGCAGTTTCCCCATATTGCACGTAGGGCGGAATCAAATATTAAAGACATGTAATGGAAAAGAAGACGGATGCTTCCGCGCTGAAGGAACTGAAGGGGGAAAAAAAAAACTTTGATCATATTTGAAATGCTGTCCTTGCTCGAAGTGTTTAGTAAGCTTTTGTTTGTTTTATCTTTATTTATTCTTTGAGGATTTGAAGGTAGAACATTAGCCAACACATTGAAGAACAGCAGCACCTTCATTTATTCTGTGTGATCGTTTCCTCAAAGCGAGAGAGAATGAGTAGGCTCAAAAAGGCTGCATCTCAAAAGGTGAATGACTGAGCCGTGTCCCCTGATACTGACCATAGCAACAACCCAGGGCACATGGCAACTGGCTCCATGATTCAAGTGTAGTGCCATCCTTATCGGCATCATTACCGCCAGACTCCTTTGCCAAATCCAGCCCAGCAGAGGCAATAAGACACAGGTTCATCCCTGTACTGCGATCTTACGAGTCCCATGTTGGTGCAGACAGCTGACCACAGAGCTTTCAGAAACCTATCAGGGTCCTTGGAAAGATTTCCCCTTAGTATCGCCTTCTGTTCTGAATTATTAAGCAAGCTATGGTTCGATTCCTCACCTCTGAATCTATTCCCTTTCTGTTGACTAGCCAAGAGGGAGGGAGGGGTTGAGAACCCTCGAGAAAAGTGTTGCACTTTGTTGGCGTTAGGATGATGCAACTAGTAACTGCAGTCAAACAAGAAAGGGAAATATCAGAAAATGAAAAGAAAGACCATAGCTGCATTTAAAACCCGGCTTGGCAGAACAACTGAGCAGGAGGTCTAATAATGCATGCACTCTCATTAACTCTTAAAAATACATGAATTAAAAGTGCAGAGCTCTTTTATTATTTGATTCTGTCTATTTCGCATTCACTCTGTCCAAAATTTCCCATAACAGCTGCTTTGATGAGCTCAGACGACTATTATTTTCGCATGAGCTGTTGCGTTGGCTCCTCTGAATAATGGCCCTCTTCAATTATGTGTTAAAGGAAAATCTGTTCATAAGCATGTCTTTCCTGTCATCTCTTTGTTGTCCTTGAACCTCGGTCAACCTAATGGCACAAAATATGAAATTTGGGACATTCGTGCTTTCCAGCTCCAAACTCTTGAAACAAACATCATAATGAAACCTATTGAGGGTTATTTTAGATACTGTGATTATCACAGAGAGGTAAAATAGGAAGGCAATCTTTTTAGGGAGCGCACCTCTGGATCATTAAAGGGATCTTCCACCCCCCTAAAAAATGTAAATGCTGTTATTAATTACTTAACCTGATGTTGTTCAAAACACCTAAGACCTTTGCTCATCTTCGCAACACAACTTAAGATAATTTGAATAAAATCTGAGGACTTCCTCATCCTCCATAGAGACCAACAATCCAAAGATGTTCAAAGTGCAGAAAAAAGGAACCAAAAACCTCTGGCCATTGACCACCAAAAGCTTGTAAAAACCTTCATGTGTCTTCAGCGGTTCAACAGTAATCATACAAAGCTCTAAAAACAAATTTTGGTGTAAAAGCTTAAAAAAAAAAACTTTGTGCGCCTTTGTCTTCTATTCCACAGTAGGTCAGGGAGCGCATTTACTGCAGGCAATACAACACATTATTGTGTCAGAGTCAGCAAGGCAACTGTCAAGTACTATATTTCCCATATTGTATTTTATTTTATTTTTTTTGCACAGAAAGGTGTGCCAAATCGGATCTTCATATGATTACAGTTGAACCACTGAAGTCACGTGGAATGTTCTAACGATGGTTTAGGTTCCCTTTCCGGAATTTGAAGGTCCCAGGACCACTGATGTAAATGAAGGATGGGAGAGCTATCAGATTTTATTCATTCATTCATTTTCTTTTCAGCTTAGTCCCTTTATTAATTAGGGGTTGCCACAGTGGAATGAACCGTCAACTTATCCAGCATGTTTTACACAGCGGATTCCCTTTAAGCTGCAACCCACCACTAAGAAACAGCTATACAGTCTCATTCACACACAAACACTACGGATAATTTTAGCTTAGCTAATCTGCTCGTGATGCATGGGCGATGTATAAAATACTGTTTCCGGATTCAAGCCGCTACTTATTTGACTTGTTTACGTTTACTGCGCGTGCAGAAATCCGCAGATTTACACATTTACATCTATGCATTTACTTGTGTAAATGTGTGTAAATTTATATTTATTCTTTTTTTAATACATTTTACTAATCTTATTGTGATATAATAATAGTAATATTAAAATGTTCATATGATTTATTTACAATATAGTTTGTAAAGTAATATTTTCTGTCTTTTAGTATTTTTAGTCTTTTAGTATATGAGAGATTTGCTTTGTTTACCAAATACTGTAAGTGGATCTAATTGGATTTGCACTGTTAACATTAAATAAAAGTTTAAAATGTATTATTTTTTTATTTCATGTATTTAATTATAATACTGCTAAAATAATTCCACATACATCTGCTGATTTTTTACAAAATTCTGAGCAAAAACAGCAAAAAATGTCAGCCGATTCTGTTTGGCCCTAGTCATATCACACATCAAAGTGAATTTTATATAAAATCATGGTGTACACATCAGCCTCTGGGCTTGCTGCTTCACAAATAAAATTTTTTTAACAATTTATAAAAGAATTATCACAATCTGCCCATATGATAATAGGCATATATATATATACAGTTGAAGTCAGAATTATTAGCCCCCCTGAATTATTAGTTCTCCTGTTTATTTTTTCCCCAATTTCTGTTTAACGGAGGGAAGATTTTTTCAGCACATTTATACACATAATAGTTGTACTAACTTATCTCTAATAACTGATTTATTTTATCTTTGCCACGATGACAGTAAATAAGATTTTACTAGATATTTTTCAAGACACTTCTATACTTCTATAAAGTGACATTTGAAGGCTTAACTAGCTTAATTAAGTTAACTAAGCAGGTTAGGGTAATTAGGCAAGTTATTGTATAACGATGGTCTGTCCTGTAGACTATCGAAAAAATATATTGCTTAAATGGGCTAATAATTTTGTCCTTAAAAAGTTTTTCAAAAAATTAAAAACTGCTTTTATTCTGGAAATAAAACAAAAAAGACTTTCTCCAGAAGAAAAAAAAACATTATCAGACATACTGTGAAAATGTCCTTGCTCTGCTTGACATAATTTGGGAAAAATTTTAAATAGAAAAAAAAAAAATTCAAAGGGGGGCTAATAATTTTGACTTCAACTAACTATGTATATATATATATATATATATATATATATATATATATATATATATATATATATATATATATATATATATATATATATATATATATATTGCGATTGTGATTTTCGAAACTATTAACATTGCTTTGTAAACGTCTATTATTACCATTTGTAGGTCTCCCCTACAGTTTGATAGAGCGCTTGTATCCGGAAGCCAATTTGCGTGTCACTTAACAAGCAGATACACCTATAGCACACGCTATGAACTGTGGGGGAAACTGGAACACCCAGAGGACACCCACGTGAACACAGGGAGAACATGCAAACTCCACACAGAAATGCCAACTGACCCAGCCAAGGCTCGAACCAGCGGCCTTCTTGCACTGAAGCGACAGTGCTACCTACTGTGCCACCCGCAATCAGATTTCATCCAAAAAATATGAATGTCTATTCCAAAGACAAACAAAGGTCTCAGTGGATTGTAAAGACATAAAAGTAAGTAAATAATAGCTGAATTTTCAGTTTTAGGTGAACTGATGCTTTAATTTAGATTAAGAATTACGGTGCTTGTTTGTAGTGTTGTGCTTTTGTATAAAATGTATCTACAAACAAGCAAACAACCAATTTAGAACACAACTTCCACTTCCCATCCGTACCAGACCATCAAAGAACAACAAGCCAGTATGTGGGCTTTCGTGTGGGTGAGCGTAGTCAGTTTCTTCACGGTGATGTGCTGCGCACCCACAACCTGACAACATTGTGAAACTGCAGTGAGTTTTACACCGGCTGTCTAATAAAGGCTACAATTTGTCAGCCGTGCGCATGACAACCTATGAGTTTATATCCCTTTCAGATGTGCCAAAACACCCACGGGATGTGTAACACTCTCATGCTAATATCCTGGTGCTTCTTTAGCGAGCGCATTACATCTTCTCCACCAGAAGCACCACAAGTCTGTTGATGCGAGAATGTTCTGGAGCCAAAGCTTTGAACGTGCCTTCAGAGTGCACGCTTGGAAAGAGTGTGCGTCTCCAGGGCTCCGCTTCGCTCGTCTACCTGTTAATGTGCTGGAGATGACTGAGCTTCAAAGAGTAGGAGACTGCCGTCGGGTAAGACTGAAGGACACCCAGGGAAAAACAGCAGCAGAATGACACTTGGAAAAAAAAAAAGCAAAGCAGGAGAGAGCAGGTGAGCATTCATTAGCAGGGGTTGTAGTGTCCGTATTGGGTGCACGCAATATGGCTCGGCATGAATGAGTGTGGAAAAGGAGGGATGATGGTGACTGATGAACAGGCCTGGGCTCATGAATATGTGTAGGAGTTGAGAAAGTGATGGACGAGGCAGATGGAGGGAAGGAGTGGGTAACGTGCGGTGATTCGGCTCTAGGGGCAGATGAAGTGCAGAGGTGAGGACTGCACACAAATGAAGTGCCGGGCTTTGAGAAGCTGTGCTTTGCGCGAGGAGGAACCCATTCCAGCTCCGCCTCCACTAATGTGCCCATTTGGTAAATCTGCAAGAATGAATGGTGGTCCAAGCTGCCAGGGTCCTTAATGACAGCAACTCATCTCGGTTTGAAGGTGAAGAGGTGCTTGTTGGGGGAAAGATGGGGGGCAATAGGGCTCGGAGACGCTGAGAGGTAAGTAAACAGAGAGACAAAGTGCTGGCTTTTTCAACTGCAATATATTTGGTTTCTGGAAAACTATTTACGCCATGGATGGCGCTTCACAAATGGTGATTTTTTCTCTCTCTCTTCTCCTATTAAACTCTATAAGCTAGCAAGCAAGCTACTTCTTTTGTCCCAAGGCAGCACTAAAATCTAAAATGTTTCAAATTGGGTTTAGTAGGAAATAGCAGTCATTTTGCGGGAGAAGGACTGAGGCTTTTCTTGACAGGAACGATGATGTGAGAGCCAAAGACGTAACGCAATCCCTCACAGCGTTCATACAATAGCTAGGAACAGGCTGCGATGGAGCAATTGAGAAAAATCAAATCCAACAATCTGAAGAGGAGATTGGCCCTTTATTAAATCATACAATCCCTCAAGTCTTAAAATACCCACTTAGAGCACCACTGCATTCACGATAAAAGATAAAAAGGTTTCAATTTGACCAAATTAGCAGAGTCTCTCCCTTCACCGCCACATTAGCTGTTGCATTACCATTTGAAGCAGACAGAGAAAAACTGTTTCAAATGACCTCACAACACAGGAAAAATAAGCACTAGTGATCCTAATGTGCTTGTGTAGCTCATTTCCAGGGCATTTGATGAGCTGAGACACTGAGCGTCAAGAAGGTTTCATGATGGAGACAAATAATTTAATGCCTGCTAGTCTAATAGTCATTGGAGAATAGTTGTGAGGTGAAGAAAGGCAGTCGAAACTGGAACAAGAAAGCGGCTCTGTTGGATAAAGGCAGCTCTTCGAAGGCATGACGCCGACCATCAAGCTCTCATGAGGGAAGATAAGAGAAACCTCAGTGGATTCGAAGCCTCTGAGAGTAAAGTGAAGCACAGATTGGTCCTGTGGTATAAGCAGTGCCAACGGAAGGGTAAACTATGCATGTTAAAGGTGAACACATGGGGCATGGCATCAGTGGTAGCTTCCATTAGTGCGAACCTGCATTTCATACCCTTGGGTAGACAGTTGAATAGGTTACACCAATGGGGCTGCTTGTGGACCTGAAAAGTGTGTGTAGTAGGTTATGGTGCAAGTGTTTTTACCTGGGCCTGCAGGGTGTTGATCTGTGACTCAAACGCTTTGATTTTCTCCTCCTGCTTCTGCAGCTCAGCCTGCGCCTCCTGTCGTGCGCTGAACTCCTCATCGAACTGAAGACAATAACATGCATACAAAAACATTTAAGTAAAAATGCACAAACAATCTATATACAATCTACAAACAATATAGCTTCATCATTGTTTAACATATTTAATGTATATGATGTAAAACAATTCATAATCTAAGTTAGTTACAGTAGTTATCTGTTTATTTTAATGCCATGTCAGGCTATCTTCATGGAAAAACTTAATTACAATAACATAAATGTTACAGGAATATAGAAGACAAGGCAATTAAAATTAAAGCTTTTACAATTCCACATATGATAAAAAATTCTAAAATCATTTTCTGGTCAAATCCTATTAACTATTCCCTCAGTGGTGGTGCTAATGCATAATCTGAGAATTGGAATGAATGGAATTTAATTAAATTTTAATGGTGCTCTTAAAAAATAATTGCAAACAATTTTAGACAAATGTATGATGTGCATTATTAGGGTTTAAAGCCCTTGCACAGATTATTGGTGCAAATTATATTGTTTTACAAGCACACGCATTTTTTTTTAATTCAGTATTAGTTTTGGTAAAAACATTCACAAATTTTCTATATGATTTACAATATATGCAGCCTAATAAGCAAATATAGGGCCAATGTTTCCTTACAAATATTATTGTGAATATGCCATATTCTATTCTAAAACATAAAACCACTTAGCTAGCACATATTTTAATCTCACATACAAATTATATCAATCATAAATGGTTGTAATTCACAAGGGCCATTTATTAAGAAATGAAGAAAAATCCCACTTAATAAATATTATTATTATTATTATTATTATTATTATTATTATTATTATTATTATTAATACTAATATTATTATTTTTAAATATGATCCTGATTATTTATTTTTTTATTTTATTTTACTTATTGTAAAAGTCTAATTTTACAATTTGACACATGCAAACCACTGCAGAAATCTTCTAACCAACAGGCCCATGTCATATACAGTACAGATATATTTAAAAAATTAATAACCAACAATAAATTAAAAGCATTAATATATGCTACGTTTTTTTGTTTTCACAAGCTTTGGAGACGTAACCTAAATTCAACTTTTAAATATCAGGTCACCTATAGCTTCATCATGAGCCGCGGCTGTGTTTAAAATGCCATAAATTATTTCAAAGTGCACTGCAAAGCCAGCGCAATTGTCAATATAAAGATCACTAAAACTGAAAAGTAACATTACTTTGAAAGCAAATTACACCTAAGAGAAATGACCTTAATGCTTTTTTGTTTATCGTTCCAAGTTTAAATGTTGGAATGCTCAAAAGAAATAGGGCATAGGGGGGTAACTGGAAAAAGAACACAACCAGGAACTATGCTTTTAACTGCAGCTCTAGAGGTGTAGTTGCAATTGTACAAGTTTGCAACGCAGTTCGTTGGAACGAGCAATTTGGGAAACGGCAAATCGACGAAATGTGTTTGTAACGACGCAACTTGCAACCTTAGTTGGCTATACTTAGTTAGCACACCCCTGAATGTTGAACTGAAAGTTACCAGGCATTGAAAAATAAAGGTTTACAATAAAATGTAAGATTTGTAGCATATGATATACTTAATGTGCATAAAATTTATTAAAATATGTCTGCCTGAAAGCACTGCAACACAGCTTGTAATGATATAGTGAAAAAGACCCCGTGTTATTAGCCGCCCAATAGTATTAGTGTCACTTTGCAATTAATTGCGAGCCTCAGATGTCTAGCTGACATTTGGCAGAGTTGGGCAGGAAGCTGAGCAAGAACATGGATCCACTCTCTGTTCCCTCAGAGTATAATGGGATACAGCTCTTGGCTCCTCTGACAACACCAGCAAGTGTCATCATCCTTAGGAATCTCCGGAGGGGAAAAAAATGGCAATATTGTACGTTGGGGGCTTTAACACTATTTGAAATGGTGCCTGTAAATAGTGTTCCCAGTAAGGCACGAACAAGCTTGCAGATTGGAGCATCAGCATTGATTCAGCTTGCACTGATACAGATCATGTTGCTCTGCTGCCAGCTATTGATCAGGCCAAAGCAATCGATGTGCTGTCTCACCGCTCATGGGAGAAAAGTTTGGTGACAGCAGCCTGGTTGCATACCAATAATGGCACCGGGGGTGATTAATAGACTCACCTTTTTGGAGAATTCAGCGGCTCTCTGCTCGCTCTCGTCTACTTTGGCTTTATCCACACACTGATCTGTAAAGCACAAACAGACAGGTACATGAAAACACACACACAGGAAAAAAAAGGCAAGCATATGTAAATTGCAAGGTGCATTGTTAACACCATGCTTAAGATTCCACATCAGACACCGAATGAAGACAATCAAAAAGAACAAAAAAGCGAATGGAATAAAATGAACCTGTCAGCATCTCATTCCCCCCTCCACCTCCCCTCAGGAGATTTGTATTCTGTTCTAGAGGTTTGAGATGTAAATTTTAAAAACGGCGCCCGCAAAATGTGTTTTCAACTCATTAAAGTAAGGGGAAGAAGTGAGAAATCTAACATTTTTTTTTTGTTTCTGCAGATGGGTCTGAAAACTTTTAATGAGCCTTTGTTGGCAAGTTACAAAAGTGTTAGTGACAAAATACAAAAGGGGGGCAAAGAAGAGAGAGAGAAGAAAAAAAAACTGAAATTTACATCACCCTTATTTTATTAATTCCATCGGTGTCCAAAAAACTGGATGACAAAACCATTGGCAATGAATGCTTATTTCCCTGCTCAACAATTAATCATAAAAACAAGTGACAAAAGCCCTGCGAATATAAGCGATACAGCTGAAGCCGTGTTGCGCTTATAAGACATGACACGCCAGCCAGGTTTTGCAGATAATGTTTTATTTATGCGTAATGAGTGTACCTTATCTTACATGTCAGGTGAGTGCAGGTGTTTCAGACAGGGCTCTCGTGGGGACCGAGGAATGATAATTAGATTTACTCCACGAAATCACAAACTTTTATCAACTGCAGTTGCGTCTCCTTCAGCGCAGCATGACTTCACCATTATGTTAGACAGACTGTAGTGTGTGAACCCGTGCCGGATGGCTCTAATCATACTGTAGACATCCCATTAAAGCCCAAAAAGTCTTTCTGGTGGATTTCATTAAAGCGATATAACTAGATCCCTATTCTCTGGCTTTTACCTAAAGCTGGTTACCGAAACCCCGAAACTCCTTTTATTCCTTCTGAAATGCTCCGTCCACTTTATCAAATGGCCGCACAGTTGAAAGTAGAATTTAATAGTGTGTAAAACTGAGTTGTACTGCTGAAAAAGTGCAGCAAGGTCAAGTACGCTGTTGAATAGACATTGAACAGTGGTTGAATAGACGTTTTCTGTCAGACTTACCAATGAGATGACTGAAGTCAACATCCAGTCTCTCCCTGTAGGCGAAATCAGGGTCCATGCCACTGCGATGGAGGACGATCTGGGACACGCACTCCTCGATCACCTTGTAATACTGAGGCCTGTAATAAAAGAAATGAGTACGCCAAGAGTGAGGGGGCCGAGTATGACAAGAGACAAAGCCGTTAACTTCATATAAAATACAGCCTCGTGCATTCCTATGAGGACAGCGCTTCATAAATCATCTGGTAAGACATATCTTTTAATGGCATTTCATGGCTTTGAATTAAGGCTTCCTTTGGTACATAATGAAATCACTAACGGTACAGCCAGTTGGTTGACTTTGTCCATTCAAGGTGAAGAAAAAGCGTCATCCGGGTCTCTCCGCTTCCCTCTCTAATTTGCAATCATCTTTGGCAATTAAGGGCAGCAATAAAACCTGAGACGCAAATCTAATCAGTGTAATCTGTGTAATTAGTTGCACAATGGCAGGGAAAACACGGCCTTGTGTTTGGAGGGGTGACAATGACGGGATGGGGAGTAAATGGGTCTGGGACTAGACACTGCCACGGCGCTTAGCGTGTGACCTTTTCCAAGTTATATTACCAAATTTAATTGCAAGTGACATTTAACAAATACAATGTCGACTTAAGCCAAGCTCCGTAGTGGCAAATAATTATGTTCCAAGCATGACCTTGAATGTCTCTTGTAGGTATTCAATTTTCCTCCCAGAAATGTGTCGTCTCGGCTTCTCGACACCATACAAGCTTTCGAATTCTAATGAACAAGCATGACTTTAAAAATGTCTCGCTGCTAAATAATTAGCACCACAACTCTTAGTTAAAGCCACTTAATTCTGGAGCATTAGAGATTTTTAATCTTCAAACATTCTTGTTTGATAAACAGTATTTGTAGGGGGATGCAGCTAAGCTTAGGTGTGAACAGTTTGTTGACCCAAGGTGATGAATTACGAATAACAGCAGGGGTGTGCGTATGCTTATGTTTTCTTCATATTTCAGTTTGCTCTGTGTAAAGCAAATAGTAAGGATGATCAAGACGTCTGCTAAAATCATCATCATGAAAAGCTGTTTCTACAGCTGCAAACTATAGCTTTTGTTAAATGAAATGAAGATAACCCCATTGGTAGTCCATACAAACACAAACACATACAAACACAGGTCCAAAATTACCTGAAACTGAAATGCCCATAATTATATTTAAATGGTTAAATTTAATGGTAAAAGTTAAATATTTATATTTTTTGTGCTCCCATAACAAAAACAACGGCTGGACATAATAGCAGCACAGTGACAATATTAAATATGACCAGAGAGGATACTTAAAAATATTGATTTAACACATTTATGCCTAATAATATTTTTTTATTTCTGTATTAGTGATCGCGAATTAATCACTATTTTTAACCGGATCTTCTAAGTAAACCGATTGAACTAATTCACCAAATAAAATGATTTGCGTCTCCGGTAATGTTACGCACTTATCCACAAACTGCTTACTTATTAACAGGCCTGATACCGCCCTCTGACTTGAAATAAACCAATATATACTGAGTTATTCAGTTATTAGAACAGTAAACACAGATAACAGATTTGACAAGTAATGAACCAATAATACTGTGCATGCGCGATTCAGTGAACCGAACACAAACAGTACATTACATTGTCGCCTGCTGATTAAATGAGAGGATCTGGTGAAATGTAGATTTATTTCATAAAAGAAAATCGTAATGGAATTTAAATAAGTGAATTGTGCTTCAGTTGGGTTGCAAAACTTAATTTTAAAAACTTTTCAGATCATGGTGATGTTTTAACTGACTGAAATTATGATTGTTGGCTGCATATTTTTTATATATTGAGTCCAAAGATTCGAACTTCCCATCACTGCGGTGTATTTAACCTCAGAAGGAGCCTTGCACACATATTTTACTTAATGCTGCTATCTTGTGGGTTGTTGTATTTAAATTTGGGGATGGGTGGATGGTAGTGGTAGATGGAAGTGTTCTTGTGTCAAAAAAGTAGCCCATCTTTGGTCGATTTTTATTATACAATATTAATTCTGATAATTTTGAATCTTGCATCTGACAAATATCCTAATTTATTTAAAAAAATAAAAATAAAACTAACACAAACTTATAAAAAAGTAGGCAATTTCTAAATATAGAAACCAATAAAAAGGAGTAAAGCTACCTCTAAAACTGATTAAAACTGAATTTGAAAACAAAATAAAAACTAAAAGTAATGAAAATGCCAAAACTATTGTATCCTTGAAATGAACGAGTGAATTTTGAAAGTTTAGCAAGGATTTTCCTTAATAAAAGCTTAATCAGTTTTTAAACATTTCTATATATTTTTTACATGTCAAAATAGACCCAAATGCGATTTCAAATGGAAGCAGAAGTGAAAGGCAGGCATACACAGTGCAATTTTTACTGTCATATGAGTGCAGCCTTTTTTTTCCCACCGTGTGAAGACACTTGGAAATTGTGGATGCTCATATGGTCATAGCTTGTAACGTGTGAAAGGAACTTGCAAGCCTAGTCAATTGGTTCTTGAGTTCCCATTCATTTTAAACATGTCAAAAACATCTGGGAGCTGTCGGCTTGAATTTGTAAGTAGTTGGATGAGCCAATCTGTTGGTCTATCTGAAGTTGACCCATCAGGAGGATAAACTCACTGAACATTGATCGCTGTATGATGTGTCATGCATGACATGGTCTTCAGAGACAGCGGACTAAGCTTTAGAATTCACACACAACGGGTAAACAAGCGCCCTGGTTTCCAGGTGCTAAGAAAACTGTATGTGTAGCAAACATTCACAGCTCATTTCATTTTTAAGTTCTTATGAGAGCAGGAGAATGATAGAGAATGAAAGTGGCTCTGAAAACAATGGAAACCAGATCTTTCTCTGTCAATAATGGGAATGGAATTTGATGAAATTGCTTATAATAACAAGTAGGCCCATACTGTATCTGCACGTGCAGAAATCCGCAGATTTTTAGGCCATCATTAAGTCTATTTTGTTTACTTGTCAGCGAGATTCTGTTTATAAATGAATTTTAATAATAATATTGACTAATATAACTATGTTCACTTGATTTATTTAAAATGTTATATATATATTTATATATTTATATATTTTATTTATATATATATATATATATTTATATATTTTATATATATATTTATATATATATATATATATATATATATATATATATATATATATATATATATATATATATTTGATTTATTTAAAATGTTATATATATATAAAATGTTAACGATACTACCCAAATCAGTCCTCATGAATCAGCTGTTTTTCTTTTTTAACAAAGTTCTGCACTGAAACAGCAAAAATTGTTAGTAGATTCTGTCTGGCCCTAGTGATAAGTCATTAAATAGTGCCGTTTACCACTGTGTCTGAATGATTTCCACAAAAAAATAACTTGTGACATGTGCATTGGACATAAGATTATCCATCAGAATTCACACTGTGTATGCTCGGCTTAACTGAAACATTTTACTTAAAAGCTATAACCGATTTAAAAATACATATACATAGAAATGTTAATAAAAGTGTTACTAAACAATTATAAACAAGATGCCTTACACTTAAATTGAAAATGGAACATAAAAATATAATACAGCATTATTTAAAATAACTATCAAGAGCATACAAATAACACAACAACGATATTGTCTCCCACTATAATATAATTTGTCTTACTGTAAATGCTAAAAAAAACATATTTGCGAAAATAAAAAAGCAGTATTATACCTCTCGCTGTAATATTTCAACTTAAAAACATGCTTGGAATGAACCAGCTATTAAGACATTAACTATAATTGGACGTCTCTTCAATCTCGATGACATTTTCAAATAACCCAACAAATAATCATATTCATACAATTTGCCAATTCGAGGCCTTGCGTTAAGAGTGGTGATGTGTAATAATCGGGCGGGGGGGGAGGGGGGGGGGGGTGCCTGCAACTGATAGGAATAAGAGTGTCACCGAGCCCAGCTTAGTGGCAAGACCCGAAGCTTACGCATGTCACTGATGTACACCATATCATTATAGCAATAAGCCGCCCTATTTTCTCAACATCCTGGCTACCAACACTGCCACATGCTGGATAGAATCGGGAAGGAGACGACTGACCCAGAACTGTCAGAGCGCACCAGAGGAGACGGCATATGTCCCACTCAAGCGAGCCTCTCCTTCCTTCTCTCTCTCTCAGTCTGGCACCTTCGCTGTCTGCCTCTCATCTCCCATCCAACCCCTGCTCCACACTGCCCATCTAATCTTCACATCAGTCACATCCAAAAGTAGAAGATGTGCTCCATATACACTCCCTCTGATCTACCTTCTGTTAGAGAGTCTTCAAGAGTTATTGCCTGACATCTTCGGCTGCTCCAAAAAGCAGTAGAAAAGTGTAAGGCTGATGGGAAGAAGGACATCAGTAAGTGTTATTAAATCGCTTTTTTTCATTTTAAACTTTGTTTTTTTTATATAAATTTTGTAGAACATCTCCATTTCAACAACCAAGATTCTTACAACTGAGGAAAAAAAATCAATGACAACATATTTGCGGAGGAATCCTTTTTGCTTTACATTACAAAATCAGTAGGATAAACATAGTCACAATGCTAAGACTTGGTTTTAAGTATTAGGGCCTACTCACACCATGCTATACGAACTGTGCTCAGGCATGTTTCCCGGCTCATTTGAGAAGTGTGAGTGCTCTGAGTCGAATCACTTGGGCTTTGGTGTGATACACTTTTGTTTGAGTGCAAAACGTGCCAGAGTGACGTGACTTTTAAAGGACTGTTTGATACGGATTTATTAATCATTCTTACTGTTCAATAAACGCAAACTGTCGTAGTTTAATAAAGATGCAAACCCCTCAATGCACAACAGCTGCACCTTCAGCAAACCTCCTAATTCCTGCAGCACGAGGACTTTATGATTGTTTATGAGCGTCAAAATTGGCTGATCTGTTTGTTAAAATTTTTGACTGCGTGTCACTGCATATCCAACAACTTAAACGATATAGCTGAAGAAATCTCCACTGTGCTGAGAGAGAGTGCTTACTGAACAGTA